CCGACCTTTGGTGTTCATAATTTAATGATAACTTTTAAAAGCATAGAGCTACATAGTTGAAATTTGCTGGAATTGTTCCTGATAATCAATAAATTTCGCTGGAGTTTACATCGCTACACTCTTCCTTTCATGTGTAGCCTGTTTTTATATACATACCTTTGATGCACATTTTGATAGCTGTAGGTCGATGTAATGCACAGTATTTATTTGACACTTATACACAGGATGGAGTCATTCTTGGAGCAGACACAAGAGCAACAGAAGACACAATCGTCGCTGACAAAAACTGTGCAAAGATTCATTATATTGCACCCAACATATAGTAAGAAGTTGTCCTGATGTTTATAGACATAGGAAATAAATACATTGATTATCAAGTATTTGGCATTATTGTGCTTGTTCATGATTTAAATAATACATTAAACATCTTAATTCTTGCATATTAGTTGAATTAAGAATTAACTGCAAGATTTTATAACTGTCGAATACTGTTTTGTATATATTTCTTGAGTCTAGACTACCAACAAAGTCTCCAAACACATGAAGAAAGTGATAAATCAGAAAGGCATGATAGGGCACCTGTATATACAATTCTTTACTTGTGAGTGAGTTGAGTATTATCGAGTCTTGAAATAAGTGCAGGTGTGCCTGCCGCCTGGGCATGCTGCTCATAACTAACATGTATGTTGCTATGTAGTTGCTGTGGAGCTGGCACGGCTGCCGACACAGAAATGACGACACAGATGGTGTCTTCCAACCTGGAGCTTCACCGTCTCAACACTGACAGGAATGTGCGTGTCGCAACTGCAAACCAAATGCTGAAGCAGCATCTCTACAGGTATATTGCAAGATCATGGGTCAAAAAGTATATGGTACTGACTACATATTAAAGCTGCTCCATCTGCTCTTTTGAAGTTATAGTTATTTTGTGTGACATATTCTGCAGGGTTCGCACGCTCCTTGAAAAGTTCTTGATTTTCGAGTCTGCCTTGAAAGGTGCTTGAAAACGAGATTCACCTGGAAAAATATCAAAACTACTTGAAAAGGTCTTGAAAACCGAGTGGATTTCTTGAAAAAAAAGAAAAAAAAATCACTTGGATCGCACACACGCCAAGCCACGCCTCTCACGAGTCAGGCCGAGTCACGCCTGTCATCCCAGCGGTGCCCACCCCCTTACATATTCATGAACATGTCCAATGCACGCGGCAAAACTATGTGCACCCCCCTGTACATCAATCAATGCCGCCTGCAGCCAGGTGTGTGCCCAGCCAGGCTGAGCATGCTCTGGCGCGCGCGCGAGATAAACCATGTGAACGCTACTGTGACCTGTGCGCTACTCTGGCACGCGGGGAGAGAAAAACCATCCACGAGTCCTAAAAATGTGTGCCTATATTTTGTCTACTATAGTTTATAGTACAGTTTTATAATTAGTCACTCAAACACACATGCGCACGCACGCACGCATGCACGCACACACATGTACACATATACACACAATCACACATACACGCGCAGGCACGCACACACACATATACACATATACGCACGCACGCACACACATGCACGCAGGCACGCACACACACACACAAACACACGCACGCACACGCACGCGCCGACACACACATTTATGTTTTGTTAGCGATTGTGGGAACACATAATTTAGATATATTTATTTCAAAATATACACATTCCCATTTAGATTGTTGGTTCATCCGTTATAATTTTAATAGAGATTGGATTAAAATTATTATCACACACGCACACAAACACGCGCACACACACACACACACACACACACACACACACACACACACACACACACACACACACACACACAAACAAACACAAACACAACTAGACAGAGGGCACTCAAAGAGAGCGCATACCTCCGCGAGCGTGTAACATGTATACATGTGTATAACAGCTGGCTCGCTACTGGCTGCTGCTGACTGAACGCCCTAAGGCGAGCTGCTGCTGACTGGACGCCCTAAGGCGAGCTGCTGCTGACTGGACTCCCTAAGGCGAGCTGCTGCTGACTGGACGCCCTAAGGCGAGCTGGTGCTGAATCGATCGATCGGTTGAGCGTGTGTATAACAGCTGGCTCGCTGCTGGCTACACACACACACAAACACACACGCGAGCGATTGCATGACCTCCGTTTGCGCGGAGGTAAAGAGGTTTCCTTCTTATTTCATCCTATTGAAAGCCTAGTAGAATGGTTTAAGCTTACAATAGAACATACTACTGATTGTTTAAAAATTTACAAGACTTAAATGTGTGGTCAGTGAAGTCCTTGAAAACGTTCATCGGGTACTTGAAAAGTCCTTGAATTTTAGGAGACCAAGGCTGTACAAACCCTGTTCTGGTATGAAGTATGCTTTAAATCAGTTCTGTGCAGTATTTTATCACATTAAATGACAGAAACAACAAATTCTAATAGATCTAAAAAAAAAAAAGTATGATGTATGAATTTGATCATTTCAACCTGAGTGGTCAACTAACAGTCATCTGTTGCATATAGTACACCATATATCCCAACAATTTAGGGTGTTTTGCGTAATTTAGAGGCGTTAGCAAGTGCTAGCAGTGGTCAGATCAGCAGGCAAAACCTTTGTATATGTATGTAGAGTTATGTACTGAAATCTGAACTTTTGTGAATTTATGCATTTTCTTTTATAAAGTACAGAGTTTTATAAAATTTGTAACGTGTACATTTTATTATCAAGATACCAAGGCTACATTTCGGCAGCTTTGGTTCTTGGTGGTGTTGACATTGCTGGTCCCCACCTATACTCAATCTACCCACATGGCTCTACTGATAAGTTGCCATACGTCACTATGGGTAGGTTCATTTAATATTACTTGTGTCAACCATAGTGGCTGAAGTGATGTAATTTCTCATGTCAGTAGGACAGATTATGAAAGCTCTAGCAACATGAGAGCACGTCAACAAATCGGTATTGTTTTCATGTGCTTCTATGCCATAGCATGATGCTCTCAGGAGACCAATGGCAGATTATCTCATTTTTAGTCAACAGTTGGCTTGATACTTATTTAATATCTTGGGATTTTTGCTTTTCATTTGCATCTTTCACATGACTGCTGTTTATATCCCCTCATCTAAATTTTAGTCACTTGTTTTACATTTTACATTATTTTACATTTTGTGTGTATTTCAGGCTCTGGCTCACTTGCTGCAATGGCAATTTTTGAAGATGGCTGGAAGCCTAATATTGATGTAAGCTTTCTTTATTTAGGGGATTATGACAATATTTCTACTGAAACGTTTTCATCCAATTTACTTCCTTGTGTACTCCAACTAACCACCCTCCCCCGCCAACAAAAATGTCTGGCGGTATGTTAGCCAGTTTACTAGCCTTACCTGTTCAATTGTTCTAGCCAACCTTAGCTTTTACCTGTTCAATTGATGAATAAAAATTCCAAACTATTCTCTATTTCTCAACCTGTTTAAATATGTTGGATAATTATGATATCATCACAGCAGAAGATAATTTATCAAGGAACATTCTATCTACCATTATAAATAATTGCAGCTTGAGGAAGGCAAGGCACTAGTAAAGACAGCAATCAGAGGAGGTATCTTTAATGATCTTGGGTCTGGCAGTAATGTAGACCTGTGTATCATCACCAAGGACAAGGTAGACTACATACGACCATATGAGGAATCGAATGAGAAGGGCAAAAGGTAAATAATATTATTTACTCCAAACCTTCTTCACCCAGCTGGCATTTCAACGTTGTTTCAACATTGAATCAACGTTGGATTACCTGTCGGATTTGAAAATATAATCAACGTTGATATACCGATGTTGATTCAATGTTGAATTACCTGTCGGATTTGAAAATATAATCGACGTTGATATAGCAACGTTGATTCAACGTTGAAATACCAAACTTGATTCTCCAATCCGCATGGGGTGGAGTAGGCGGGGCGCGTGTATTTTTACAGCACCACCAATGCGTAAACGTCCTACACTACGCATGCTCTGCAGCCACACACAAGTACAAACAGTCACCCTGTCCCAAACCCTAACCGTAAACCGACTCGGCTATCTTATATACAAGTGTCATAGTACCAAATACCGTCTATGGTGTGGTGGCGATTTTACGCATTAGTGGTACGGGAAAAAAACACGCAGGCGGCGTTGGGCTATGGGGTTTGTGGGGAGGGGAGGTAGAAACAAATCCCCCGGCAAATGTGAAATGTATGACGAATGGAATTATCTTGAGTAGATACCACAACTTCTTAATAAAGAAAATAAGTTAATAACTTAATAATTAAAATTTCAACGTTGTTTCAACGTTGACTTAGCAACTCTTTTTCAACTTTTGACTAAATGTTGTTATCACAACGTTGATTCAACGTACAACATTCAACGCATATTCAACGTTGAAATTTCAATGTTGTTTCAACAGTGATTTGTCGACACTGTTTCAACCGTTGAATATTCAACATTGATTCAACGTACAACATTCAACGCATATTCAACGTTGAAATTTCAACATTGATTTAGCAACTCTTTTTCAACTTTTGACTAAATGTCGTTATCACAACGTTGATTCAACGTACAACATTCAACGCATATTCAACGTTGTTTCAACGGTGATTTGTCGACACTGTTTCAACCGTTGAATATTCAACGTTGATTCAAAGTACAACATTCAACGCATATTCAACGTTGAAATTTTAACGTTGTTTCAACGTTGATTTAGCAACTCTTTTTCAACTTTTGACTAAATGTCGTTACCGCCACTGTTGTTGATGCAACGTTGATTCAACGTTGAATCAACGTTGAATATTCAACGGTTGAAACAGTGTCGACAAATCACCGTTGAAACAACGTTGAAATTTCAACGTTAAATATGCGTTGAATGTTGTACGTTGAATCAACGTTGTGATAACGACATTTAGTCAAAAGTTGAAAAAGAGTTGCTAAATCAACGTTGAATATGCGTTTGTATGTTGTACGTTGAATATTTCAACCAAATTTCAACGTTGAATTTAGGTTGAGTGCCAGCTGGGCAGGCTTGTGGATTGTGAAAGCATGTGTGCTCGGGCATTAAATCAGTTCATTTGCAGGCATTTGTATTGAATACATAAAGTTATTCATTATATATTTCTGCATGTATTTTTCAGACAAGGTTCTTACAAATACAAACGTGGCACAACGTCAGTTCTTACTAAGGATGTGATTAGGTTTGATGAGCTGGATATCGAGGTTGTAAGTGAAGAAGCAATGGAGACATCATAAGACCCATAGGTGGCAAGATCAGAGCGAGGCATCATTTATTGTGCTGCACAGAGGTGATTGTGCTGAATAAGAAAATGGAAACCATGTACAAATGTTTAGTTACATATATGATACACCTCCGTACAGCAACCTTTGCTCGTTCACTGTTTTGAGACTATGCCTTAGAATGCCAACAATGGTAAGAAACTTTTCCATGACTGATATTGGTATTATACCATACTGTCAGGTGTCAATCTAGCACTGTGGTCGATTATAGTCCAAGTGGTCATTGCCATGGTAAACTTAGATACATCGTCACGTTTAAATTGTTAAAATTAATAAATGACTCCAATATAACCTGTAATTCCATTAAACAATAAAAAAAGAAAAGAAACGAAGAACACTCTGTTTTTTATGGAATTCATTCTATGTCCTGAGCTTTAAAACAGTACATGCTGCTGTAGAGACCGACATGTTCAGTTATTACTTGTGGATATTGCTTTCTCCCATGCTTCTGCTCTCATTTCCTCTCTCTCTTCTACCCTTTAAGTAGGTCCAAGATAGATAAACAATAACAGATTATTAATTGTTCTCAATTGTATTAGAAAAACGTGGGAATATTACAATTAGTTAAGAAATAATGCTGCATTGAATGACTGTCAACATAGCTGAAACACTGCTGGAAAATTAAATTAAATTGCCATTGAAAAGTTTACAATATTAAACCTACAACAATGTGCCACAATACTAATAGTCATGATGTTGTGAATTTATCTTGTAGTAGGATAGCATTCTTTCTGGGAATCTATGTTGTTCTTTTTTTCTTCCGGTGTTGCTGCTGTTCTCTTTTTGCTTGGCCTTTCGTTTTAGTCTGAAAAAGAAACCTTGCATACTATACATCATGAAATGACTTATAATAACTCGTAATGATTTTTATTGTTAGTGTACAATAGATCTGGATATATTGGTTGTTCAGTTCCACTGCACCTTACAGCAAAATATAATGGACGAGGTGCTATTGAATTAGTCCACTTAAGACATATTATATCTGAAATCTGATTTGACTCATAATTTCAAGAGCGTACAACGGTGAAATGCTGAAACCGTGTTGCAGTATTAGTCTAATTAATAAACTTTTCCCGTTTTATTTTGCCGATTCTTTGCAGTATTATTGATCAGCTGTCCTACCTTGTTAATATAAAACAAACCGCATGTCCCTACGCTGAGATAATGAGCGGTGGAAATCTGGTATTTTCGCCGAAAACCGACGAGATACCTGCTGACTGCGACTGTCTCTCTACCTGCTGACTGCGACTGTCTCTCACTTTGAGATAACTTCGCGAAACCTCGAGTGTTTCCGTCAATGATTGACAAATGGAATGAATGACATCTGTTATTGATTGCCATAGTGATGACCCCCACCTGTGCCCACTTCACGCTGGATGTAGTAAAACTGTAGTACTGACGTAATGAGTCAGCGCTACCATGGCGCTACACAGCGGCGACCGGAAGCAACACACTGGCCACAAAGCGAGAGAGGGTCGCAGCAAACAGGGATCTCGAGTCGGTTTTCGGCAAAAATACCAGATTTTCACTGCTCATTATCTCAGCGTAGGGGCATCGTAGGGACAAGCGGTTTGTTTTATATTAGCAAGGTAGGACAGCTGATAAATAATACCGCAAAGAATCGTCAAAATAAAACCGGCAAAGTTTCTTAATTCGACTAATACTGCAACATGGTTTCAGCATTTCACCGTTGTATGCTCTCCTTCTTTATACGCTCTTGATAATTTCCTTTCATGAAGATTAAGTTAAAATAGATATATATGTCTTCATACATCTTATTATTGGTTAATTTTGGTGCATCTGAATGTGTTTAAAGGGTGAGTTATACGTGCAGCTTTAACTATAACCCAAAGATTACGCAAAAATATGCTACATACATGACATAGGCTGTAAAGTACTGCCACCTATTAGGTTAGCTGAAAACAGTACACAGTACCTCTGCATGCCTTTTCTTCAGTGAAGTAGCTGTTGCTTTCTGTTTCTTGGGTTCAACTGTTATGGGTTCTGCTGCATTATCCTCGTCATCCTCAAACATATCAGCTGTTTAAAATCAATCATGAGATTAAAACGTGCATAACATCACCTTACCACAACTCGCTGCACCACAACAGAAATACTCATTTGCATACCACAAACATTTCGATATATGAACTAATCCAGATCATAAATGGTGGCATAATTAATGGCTTTATTGTTGCAGGCACCAGTTGTTTTGCACTTTGACATGGAGACACATCACAAGATCTCCGACTGATGTCCTCAGGCATGTCAATGGGCGCCGTTATAAAACGGCTTTACAAAGATGTAAATGTGTTCTATGCTATTGCATTAAGGACGTGCATACATACCTGGATAGAGGTCACTCATGCTGTCATTAGACTCTTCACAGATGGACTCCTCATCAAAATCTGTCGTTTCTTGCCGATTGTGACCTCTTGGTTCACTATCTCGTTTTGCTGCATTACGTCCCCTTCTGGCCTTGAATGGTATAATCTCTCGCTGGCAATGTTCATCTAAAACAAACGGACATCAATTTTCAAAATCACTTGGTATAACCAGAATTTTGGGCTGAAGAAATGGGTTGGAAAATAAAACCAAATATAGAAAACTTGCTACACTCATGACCGAATGCATGTAGTACATTCATATATACTAGCCAGAGCTTTGCCACACTGCCAAAATGACTTTTACAGTAATGCTGATAAATTCTCGCGTCCTGTAAAGACATTTCTTTACCAAATGGGTTGTTACGCTATACTAACATCTTTGTAAAGCCGTTTTATAACGGCGCCCATTGACATGCCTGAGGACATCAGTCGGAGATCTTGTGATGTGTCTCCATGTCAAAGTGCAAAACAACTGGTGCCTGCAACAATAAAGCCATTAATATAGCACAAGCATGTGCAATTATAAAACTGCTTGCATTTAATTGTTTTGTTCACCTGTATATGCGTAGATTGTACACAACTAATTTTTCTGTTTATTCTAATATATATACAAACTCACTTACAATAACAACTGCCAGTATATATATATATATATCAAACTCAGTTAAATTTATATTACACAATGTATACTTACTCACGTTTCCTTTTTGTACTGGGAACCAAGTGTGGAACGTATTTGTCATAATCAAAGCCTTGTATTTCACTTAGTTTCTGGTACTTCTTTCCTTGAACATGTTTCTCAATAGCATCAAGTCTGTATGGCAACTCGTGATTTGTCAGGTTACACTTTACCTAAATATAATTAAACACAACATTATACACTAAAGCAAATGCAATGTTAGGCTCTTCCCTATTAAACATTCTAACTGGTACAGTACCAGTGACTTCAGCACTCTCCCATAAAAGACTACACAATTACTGACATACCGACAATTCAGATTTAAACTGAAACATTTGAGTTTCTTAACTGTTGGGGTTTGCTATGGTCATAGTAACATCTTTGTAACATAGGATTAAATACAGTTTAAGATTTATAATAGTGACATTCAGTTAATGTTTGTGCATTTGGACAACTATTAGATCTTTGCTTTTGCTTACACAGCCATATAGGACATTTTAGTCTCTTTTAGCCAGTGCCCTTTATATCAAATTTTGTTAGTGCTCAAAATATAAAGTCGATTTCAAGAAAATAGCATTCTATGATCACATCTAGTATGAAAAGTCCTGTACATGCATGAAGAACTGCACGTGATGCTGCAGTCAAGGTTGCCTGCCATGATCAACTATTAGCGGCAGACTCTTAAATTATGTGCAGGTATAGACTCTAAAGCCTATTTACACCTGATTTAGAGTTATAGCTTAGCCATGTGAGAGCTACCTCTTATACACCGAGCTCTTAAAATCGGATGGCTCAAAGGCATGAGATTTTCGCAGAATCAAGCTTGGTGTCGACAAGTGAAACTTGGTGTGTGGTAGTGAGGTACAGCGGCACATAACATCCCATATAACTTTAAAAAATATAAATGTAAAAACCTGCAATCTGATGTATTTCAATGATTTTTGAAACCTAATAGCAAAAAAATAAAGTAACAATACCAAAAAAGACATCACTGTCTCGTGGATGATTTTGATGTCTGTTAAAAATTATATATTTCTGAAAGTGAAATTTGTTATAAATTCATGCGTTGGTGCCAGAGCATTATATGGTGGCATCTAAATGTTCAGGTCACACAGTCAATGTATGAGAGTTCATAGGCCCATGTGCAACAGACTGAAAATGTCACTGTCATATTTAGCTTCCATTCCAAGGCTTTTGATCAATGCATGTCACATCCAACATGCTTTCAAAGCTGAAGCAAATTTGAGACATCTTCCAAAACTTAGTGGCCACGATTATGTTGTTATGTCACGTGCATAATTTCATTTGGTACAAGTTGTAACAAATTGTAATGATGTAACATTATGACGTGCGTGTACGAGATTATACGAGAGGTCGCGAGCATGCACGTACGTCATAACGTTACATCATTACACAAATGAAGTCAATTAGGGGTACTGACTACTGTAGCTTGTAAACTGAACTTGTACTATAACTACCTATCGGGCTCTCCCATATCTGTCCATAAACACGATGTCTTCTGAAATTCCTAGCAGGACCCTGTTCTATATGCGTAGCTCTTCCAAGATTAAAGGGAACTCATTGTTTCTCAGGTAAGGCTAAAACGGATCATCATTAGTAGTATCAGTAACTAGGGTAAGTCTCCAGTAATACTTAAAGGCGAATGGGGTTGTAAAAGAACCACTGAGGGTGCAAAACAATCGGCTCAAGGATAGAGAGCATGTCCAGTAATAAACATCATCCTATCCTATCACCGCCCTGGACATCATTTCTATCATTGAACCAAACAATCTGGCTGTGACCACCCTCAGTGCCATTCGGCTAAAAGGCTAACTACCTGGCTTTACCCAAGCTAGGTCACACCTAGATACAATAATGTAACCCAAACCCAGGATAGGGTTACAAGTTCAGGGAACACCTGAGTGAATCACTCAGGGCGGTTTGCTGGTGCGTTTTCAGAGACTAGAACTTCCAAACTGGGTTTATTCTCAACACGTACCTTTCCTCGCTATCTTGGAACTTACTATGTATCACAAATTACTCTGTATTAAATCAACCAAAAAAGAAAATAAGAAAGAAACATCAAAAAAAAAACAAACTCCTACACCCCTGAAGCCCAAAAGGAAAAAAAAAAACTGCAGAAGAAAAAAAAAAAAAAACAGAACAAGGTATCAAGAAAAAACGAAAAACCACAAAAATAAAATTCCGCGTCCGAGTAGTCCTAATAAAACCTGTTACAGAAAATTCGAAAGTGACGAGCAGCGAATATACTGAGCGCATTTCCTGTTGACCGTGATGTACTTCGTTGAAGAGCGATTCACCGACCAATCGCGAGGGCCTGCGTTTGCCGATCGCATGCGGCATTGGGAATGCGTACGTCACAGTGTCAAAAGAAATGGCGCTCGAAATATCCGCCGCTCGTGACTTCGATATTTTTGTAAACAGTTATATTAGTTTAATATAGAGTATTGTGATATCAGGGCCCTCGCTTCACCGACTCGCCAATTCGCCAATCGGCGAACAATTAGTAATCTGGCGATTGAAAGTCTTATTTGGCGAAAAAAGTGACGAACGTAATTTCTCGTAATAAACATGACCCAGCAAACATCCGATCCTATTTGATCGTCGAAACAGCAACGTTTCTTTTGCGTGGCCGGCACATTCCCGGCGGCGCGGTTTCATTCCCGATTGCAGCTTTTTCCTCGATTGCGGGAAAGTTTTGCTGTCGCTCCCTTCATACCAGCGCGGTGCCCACCCCTAGATATAACAGCCACACACAATCAGTGCATTTGCCCTGCCCCCCCCACCCCCCGCCTACTTCAATCAATGCCGCCCAGCCAGCAAGCATGAGCCACGATGTGCACAGCCACGGACGTGAAGTAACAGGGTGTCGCGGGCTGCTTTTTTCGTTTTTTTCTTTGCGTGAATGCGTGAGATGCGTAAGCATGCGGGAGCGCAGGAGAAGGGTGCAGATGCGTGAGTCTCCCACGAAACCAGCGCGCAGCGTGAGACTTGTAGGGTCTGCCTAACAAGAGTAAGATTTAAACTAAAGGGGAAATTTTATTTTTGGGGCGCATCAAATGCAGTCTAAGACATTCAAATGTTTTAAATTTTGCTGGGGAGACCCCCAGAACCCTTCTACCTCTCTCCCTTCGCATCTGCCTGCAGAATCCACATTCGCTGCCTACTGCACGCCTTTGAATCCATCATGTGCGTTTTTCCCCAAACTGGGGCATTACCACCCGTTGTCTAATTTTCCCTCAGAAGAAACCCTGGGCGTTTAAAAAGGCCTGTCTCACACACACGGCCGGCATGGCACGGCAACGGCGCTGGCAAAAGTCAAATGATTTTACTACGCCTGTGCGTGCACACGTGTGTGTGCGCGCGCGTGTGGCGTTCGTGTAGGTGTGTGTTTGTGTGTGTACTGTGTGGAGGTACTGTAAAAAGTACGTAAAACTGATAAGTACTAACTGGGGAATATAGTCAGCTTTTGATGCACAGCTAATTTTTCTGGTTCACTAGCATCCCGAAGTTACAAAAGTAGTAGAGTATATATGCATGTGCTTGTGAAAACTCTTCTGCTAAACTATTAGTATTACTGTAACATAACTATGTGTTGATAGATACTGTCTATACTGTACTGCGCCGTGCGTGCGTACGTGCATGCGCGTGCGTGCGTATTGTGCGTCAGGTACTGTAAAAAGTAGTTGTTTGTGACCCTACCATCCACAACAGTTGATGTGAGAGAGGGGTTTTAGCAGACATAATTTGGTTAAAACAGCTCTGAGAATCACTCTGAAAACAGAAAGTGTTTGTGACATTCTAACCATCAAATTGAAGGCCAGAAGAAGAGATGTTTGACTTTGAAAAGTAGAATTTCCTGCCAGCAGTGAAGAAAAAAAATTCAGACAATTTGAATGTCTCTGTCAGTCAGTCAGAGTTATGGTGGTGAATTCATAGTGTTAGTTTTTTCAGTCATAGACATGCTGGTGAATAATAGTTTGTTTGCATTAAATAAGTGTAGTTTTGTACTTAATGCATATAACAGTTTGTGAAAAAATAAGAAAAGAAAAATTATTTATCGCCTGTTTGTGTTCATAAAATGTTTAGGCTACAGATGTGGCTAACAGGAATCCCAAATTGGCTAATGAAATTGATTTGGTAATTGTGTTGGCTACAGGAAAAAAAAATCCTAACTAGGGCCCTGAGAGAAGTTCCAAGATAGCGAAGAAAGGTACGTGTTGAGAAAAAACCCAGTTTGGAAGTTCTAGTCTCTGAAAATGCACCAGCAAACCGCCCTGAGTGATTCACTCAGGGGGTTCCCTAAATTTCTCCACAGAAAACCATAGCGACGCGTTGTAACCCTATCCTGGGTTTGGGTTACATTATTGTATCTAGGTCACACTCCTGGCTATAGCTATAGCCCGTCGAATAATAGTCAAGTTTGACTGCGTCGACGTACAGTACAGACGGACAGATAGGGGCTAGTAATACTAATACTAATACCAGGAGTAAGATAATATAGGATATCCTATATTATCTTACTCCTGCTAATACTAATACTTAAACAGGGTTCGACACTAACGCTAGTCCGTTAGTCGCAGACTAGTAAAAAATCAGAAGGACTGAGTTGAGATTTCCATAAGCAGTTAGTCGTGCGGGACTAGTTATATTTTCCGCGTCCCTGACGCGTCCCAAGTTTCCACATCGATTTTACCAGTGGCGCGTCTCTCGAGACCAAGATCTAAACAACAGCTATATAGTAACTCATTTCCCATTAACAAGTTTCTCCTTGTTAGACACTCTATGTACAAGTAGACGCTAGCACGCTCTGCCACGCCCTAAGCAGCTAGACCGGCCACCAGCTATAAAACATATTTTAAACAGATGGGGCCACGAACCCCAGGTTCTACCAATCGTCGCTTGACAGTCAGCTGTGACTCATAGAACAATACGGGTCTGAGTTGGGTAGAAATGACGCACTAATCAGTTATAGGCTCTCGTATTTTACTCGGCACACATCGCAGCGTGCTGCTACTTGAAGCATTCCTACAAATAGTAGCTGAAGGCTATAGTAGGTACATCCTTATCCAATTGTATAATATAATTTATACTAACATCAAGGTCGTTATGTGAAGTATTTGGACACGCGCTCGCCGCTCTCACCTCCCAAACGTTAAATCGCAGGAAGGAGAAATTATGATGGTCAGCGTGTCTAATGATAAGAAACAGCAGCCATGCCTGTTCACGAAACAGTGGGACCCAAGTGACCCACGAACTGAGATTGAAATGGTGTGTGGCGATCAAAAGAGTGATGAAAGTGCACACGCAGCGTGACACAGGCCAGTGCACACGCACGCACGTTGCACACGCACGCACACCGGTCTGGCACACCGCACGCACGGACGACCACGCTGACGCACACAACGGCACGGCACCGACGCCGACGCACAAGTGTACGTGCCTCACCAACGCACGTGTACGTAACACCGAACCCGTGTAGTACACTATAATGCGCACACGTGTATCCGCATCCGCACCCACAGTGTCGCATGACGCACCGACCACCACACATGACGTGCTCACGCACGCGCCTCCTTGTACGTGCACGAGGCACGGTGCATGCACTGCGCGGCACGTGTACGTGCACAACGCCATCCACGCAGACACATGTACGTGCTGACGTACTGCACGTACGGTACATGCACCACGCACGCAGGCACGTGTACCTGCACACGCACAGTACACCACACGCACGCACGCACATGTTACGTGCATACGGCACGCCACGGCAACACACACGCACATGTACGTCATATGCCCACGCATGTTACGTGCACCAGCGGCACGCACACACGTGTACGTGCCTATGCACGCACACACGCACGTGTAGTGCACACGCATGACACCACGCACGCGACGCACGTGCACACACACGCTCACGCGCACGCACGCACACCCACGGTGTACGTGCCCACGCACGCCTGTGACGTGCACAACGCATCGCGACAGACGTTGTACGTGCACACGCATCACCGCACAGCCATGTAACGTGCACCACGCACGCACGCATACTACGTGTACGTTTGCCGCGCGTACGTGTACGTGCACACCGCATCCACGCACACACATGTACTGCTGAACTTCACGCACGTACGTGTACATGCACATGCATCACGCAGGCACGTGTTACCTGCACACGTCCACGTACACACACACACGGCACGCACGCACATGTCCGTTGCATACGCCCCACGCCCGCACGCCCGCCACGTGTACGCACGCACCGCACGTGTACGTGCACGACGCAGGCACACCAACACACGCACGATGTACGTGCCATATGCACGCACGCATGTGTACGTGCCGACGCACGCACACGACGTGTACGTTGCCATGCCGCCCGGCACCGCACGTGGTACGTCACCGCACGCACACACGTGTACGTGCCAAACGCACGCCACACACGTGGTACGGCCACTAACCGCACGTTCACACCACGCACGTGTCACGTGGCCGCCGCCACCGCACCCGACGTGTACGTGCACACGCACGCAAGCGTACGTGTACGGCAGGACTGCAGCTTCCTCCCAGATGTCTTTGCACCTCTAACTTTATGGGCCACTTCTGATTTCAATTTCATTTATGGTTTCCCCTTCGCTACTATGACGCCATTGTGTTAGCAGTGATACGGACAGTGCACCGCGCGCCATCTATCCAGGCGATTAGTAAATTGGCGCACCCCATTAGAAGCTGCACATGGCTATTCGGGAAAAACGACAGGCCCCTACACCTGATTACGTCATGCCAGCCTTACAAGGCCAAGGGGTTAGATGTCGCGCAGCACTTACCTGCACCGACAATGCCTGCCAGACGTTATTATGAGATAGCCGATACACAGGCGCCTGGGAACGAGTTTGTAGCTATAGAATGAGCCAAAGTTCCTTACTGTGATAAGTGCACGCGATCCACAGATTCCTCAATCACACGACAGCCGAAAGTTTTATTGTCGAATTAAAATTTTATTTATTTAAATTAAATTTTATGATCCATATCCAAAGTTACATTGTATTTTATACATGAATGTCTTTACAAAACCTTTCTGGGGATCACCCCTTGTACCCTGGGGAGAGACGCCCCTGTACCCGCCTAGCAGAAGGGGGGCTCCACCCTCCTACCCCGCCTACCCTCCTGGCAAATCACAAGTGCTCGCGCTTCTGTCGCCTAGTAAGAGGTTCTCGCAGGACTAGTAGAATCTTGGAAGGACTAGTAGATTTTTTTGCTTCTACTAAGTCCTGTGGATTAATGAACTAACATGGTTAGTGTCTAACCCTGGCTTAATACTTAATAGTAATAGTACTAATAGTAATACCTATCATCAGACATCACTGTCACTGTCAGACATGGAAAAGAATACTGAGTTCACGATAATTAAGCTATGACTATGAGCGCGAACAAGGAAATTGTAGCCTTTATGCTTCGCTAGAGACGTACCTTCATTAAGTTATCACTATTAATTACAGTCAGGAACTGATGACTTTTTAACAATTCTTTAATCAGTAAGGAATCATTATTATCCACGTCGGGGTGACAGGGGGCTGCCATAATGAAGGTAAGGCTGGCGCCACCTATAGGCTAGAATTTCAACAACAAAACTGTCATGATTATCATTTCTATGTCGGTAACGTACGTATGTCTACGGTCTTTGCGAATCTGAACGTTTTTGTAACAGGAATAAATAACAGCATGACCTTCGCCCGCTCTTATGCGTTTAAAACGATCAGGGGCATGCCCTCGAGAGATGTGCATGGTAAAATCCGATCTAAATTTTCACTTTGGCCGCAGCATCCCTCGCCGGCAGCGAAATTTTTTTCCCCACGAGAGTTCCGGACCCACCACAGATAGTGTTTTGTAATATATGGTGCGTATATAAGACGGACCTGGTTGCATTATAGTTAGTGTTAGGGTTAGGGTTAGGGTTAGGTTTAGGTTTAGGGTTAGGTTGTATAAATTTTGCATTGTTGCTTCGAGGTAGTCGAGTGAATGGAGTGCGCTGATTGGCTGGGGTCCGGAACTCTCGTGGGAAAAAAAATTTCGCACCCCGG